CTCTCTCTCTCTCTCTCTCTCTCTCTCTCTCTCTCTCTCTCTCTCTCTCTCTCTCTCTCTCTCTCTCGCTCGCTCGCTCGCTCGCTTGCTCGCTCACGCGCGCGCGCGCGTGCGAAAATCCGGAAAGTGGTAATAGGAGAATGAATCTCCGATACGACCACGAGAAAATTTTTCTAAGTACTCTCTCTCTCTCTCTCTCCCTCTCTCCCTCTCTCTCTCTGTCTCCCCTTTCCTTCCTCCCTCCCTCTCTTTTATTTTATATCTATATATATAATATATATGTATGATATATATATATATATATATTAAAGGAACAATGTCTTTATAAAAGCTGGGAACCGGGCTCGACGTCCCTTACAAAATTAGGTGGGGCCCTCAGTGGGTAAGGTATCACCCGCCAAGCACATCGAGGGCACTTGTAGATTTCACCCCACAACCAACTCCACAGCCCCAACAACTCAAAAGTCAACGAAAATTATCATCAAAATCTAAGTTCATCACCAAGTAATCACAACAGTGATTGTCATGACAACCCTAATTTAGTGACCTAAATTCCACTGACCATGAAAAAAGCTTCAACCAATCCTCATTCCACAAACCAACCAGCAATTATTAGGATTCACCAATCAAATTGACGGATGAAGTACGAAGGTCTGAAAGACTGAAACGAATAAGGAATTCGCACTGATCTACCCTAATTACCTAATTAACAAAGACAGTCACAACAATTTCAACTCTATACCTTCTTTGAATAACTAATTAACAAAAACAGTCACAAAAATTTCAACTCTATACCTTAGTTTAGGACCTATAGGCTTATAGATTGCAAAATTTCTTCTATGCAGAGACTTCTCGGTTCTTAATCTAAATTAGGAAATTCAACGTGGTCAAACTTAGATGAGCAAGGTAGTTAAGCAAAGACCATCCATGATGGCAGGGTCGATGGGGGGGGGGGCATCAAGCCCAACATCTAAGATGATCCCCACTTACCACCCTTAATACCTAATTAACAAAGATAGTCACAACAATTTCAACTCTATACCTTCCCTGAATACCTAATGAAAAAAAACAGTCACAAAAATTTCAACTCTATACCTTAGTATAGGGCCTATAGGCTTATAGATTGCAAAATCCCTTCTATGCAGAGACTTGTCGGTTCCTAATCTAAATTACGAAATTCAACGTGGTCAAACTTAGATGAGCAAGGCAGTTAAGAAAAGACCGTCGAGGATGGTAGGGTCAATGGGTGGGGGAACATCAAGCCCAACATCTCGGATGATCCCCACTGACCACTCTTAATACCTAATTAACAAAGACAGCCACAACAATTCCAACTCTATGCCTTCCCTGAATACCTAATGAACAAAAACAGTTACAAAATTTCAACTTTATACCTCAGTATAGGCCCTATAGGCTTATAGATTGCAAAATTCCTTTTATGCAGAGACTTGTCGGTTCCTAATCTAAATTAGGAAATTCTTCGTGGTCAAACACCGTCCAAGATGGCAGACTCGATGGGGGGGGAAGCATCAAGCCCAACATCTCGGATGACCCCCACTGACCACACCTCACTAATGGCGGGGAGCAATGAGAAACAAACCATCAAACTGAAGGAAAGCAGCTGCCGTGTGAGCAAGATAAAGCAGCCGACAAGCAACTGCAAAGCCGCTACACCAGCTTGAGTCTTCAGAACCAAACGGAACCGTCACCATTGAAGTACAAGCAGTCATTGGCAACACAAAAGAGTGACCTCAAATCCGCTCCACGCCCATACAACAGGCTGCACCAGTGTTGCTCCAGGCAACGCGGAAGCAGGATTACCATGCGCTCGATCTATATCAACGACCGTAACCGCACATTTTATTTTTGGGTTAACTTCAATAGAATCACAAAAACGAGTTATAATTGCACTATGTGGCAAGATACAGTTTGCAATTGCACTTCGGGCACCCTACCTGGCCAAAAAGCTGTGTTGTATACATTGCTTGAACTGCATTTCAAAACTGTATCTTGGCCCATAGTGCAATTATAACTCATTTTTGTGACTCCTACGTAGTTTCCCCTTTATTTTTTTGTTGGTATTGAATCTCGTTCATTTATTTTATTTTCTTATTTACTTTTTTTTTTTTTTTTTTTCTGCGTTCTAGAAATGCACATTGTCCTACTACCAGTGGCTCTGGGATCGATAAGGCTCGGCATACTGGTAGCGGGAGGCTCGGACTTGATAGCTGGGAAAGGTAATGGTGGTTTTAAGTAGAACTTTGAGGCAACTAACCTGCCTCAGGTAAATTCAAAGTTGTTTTATTCATCAGGGGCAAAATCAGATATCTTTTCACTCGCTTGATCCCAGTGGAATTTGAACGCAGGCCTGTGTTTTGATAGCTCATGGTGTACCAACTAAGCTAGGCCAGTTCATTGCCAGGAGAGGGGGGTCAATTCGTTTCGTAGTGAAAAAAAAAAAAAAAAAAGACCCACTAGGACATGGGAAGATACGACCTAATGACGGCTGCATGGGAGAGTGGACTGCGCTAGCGCTAGCGCCCTGAAGCCGGTCGACCGGTAAGGCCCGGTTGCCCCGACTCGACCAGCGCTTGGGAAGACAGTAGTTTCCCGGCTGCTGGGCCTGCGCACATGCCCGACAGGTGCGAGCGGTGTTTTGCCATGTGGCACCTGTTGTTTGGAGATGTGGATGTCCCGCGACACGTGTACAGGGGTAGCGCCAGCCGTGGATTGATTAGTGGTTCCGACGAACCATGTGAGTGGCGCAACTAATTGGGCAAATGGATTCGATGGGGGAGCTACAACATTGAGCGGAGGAATGGATCTCCACGCTGGATGAGGGATGCAAGCAGCTACGGAAGATAGTGAGGATGCTCATGCAGCGGTGGCAAGAGGGGGAGGAGATCGATGGGGGGGCGATCTCTATGGAGCAGTGGTTAGCAGACATGATCTAGGAGATGCTAGACATCATGTGGGAGATGGAGGAGGGGCCGGATCCCCAGCTTGATGCCTACATCGACTGGAGGAGGGCGAATGATAGGATGGGTGTTTGCAATGCCCTCTATACAACAGGCCGCAATCTACGCAACCAGCTAGAGGCTCTGTAGGGAACGCTAGAGATGGGCGATAAGAGCGACATGGATGACTGGGAGGAGGGAGGATTGGATGACGACGAAGACAATTGCGGTGACAACACGAACAATACTAAGGACAACAACAACAATAACAACAACATCAATAACATCGGCGTCAACGACACCAACAACAACAATAACGATAACAACAACAACAACGGCGACGGCGACAACAACAATGACGATGGCGGCAGTGAAGATGATGGCGGTAGAGACGACCATGGCAACAGTAACAACAACATTAATAATAGCAACGACGACAATACCAAGGACAACAACAACAACAACAACATCAATAACATCAATAACATCGGCGTCAACGATACCAACAACAATAAGGGCGACGACAACAACAACAATGACGATGGCGGCAGTGAAGATGATAGCGGTAGTGACAACCATGGCAACAACAATAACAACAATAACAACAATAACAACGACGACAGCAGCAGCGAAGTCCACGGTGGCAGCATGGTGGCAGCAGGGTTGAGAGCGGTGTCCGGGCATCTCAAGTCATCATAGCCACGATGGGAGTGATGCCGCAAGCGGATGTGGTGGGGATTGGGGATGACAACAACAACACTAAAGATGATGGCGGCAGCGGCGATGACGGCGGCAGTGATAACCACGACGACAACGGGGCAGAGCGCATCAGCATGATGGGAGAGAAGACGCATGCTGACGTGGTGGGGAGTAGGGTTGACACAGATCATAGGCTTATCAAATCCCCCCCCTTCCCCCCCTTCATCCTCGTTGCATGGCTCAGGATTGGAGTAGGATAGTCGAGTTGATTGGTGTTGCCCGACCCGCAATATCAATCAACTTCGGGTGTTGATTGCCTGTGGGAGGGAGGTGGGCTGGTTAGGGAGTTTGCAGGCGGTCAATCCTTCCCTTGCGCAGGGAAGTAATCAATGTCCCTGCTCTCTTCGGACAATGAGTATAGGGACAGTCCCACATGTTTTTGCATAATGGAAGCTGCACTTGCCATCTAGATCACACATAATACATCATTGATAGAGTTCACACACATCATCCCTTTCTTAGGGTTTCGGGTTATTGCAATGAACTTAGATCGTGAAGACACTTGTCAACAATGCAAGCCCAGATGAATATAAACCTGCTCCTGATGATCAATAATCAGAATCGTGTCCAGATAGAATGAGATGGGAGAATCATACACAACCGAAAAAAGAGAGGAGGGAGAATAGACTTAGAAAGTGGAGAGACAATGCCCACTTCTGCTTCGGGCTTCCTCCTCGATCACCACCTCAAATAATCAATAGTCTGAACATACATATGAAGTTCTACTACAATGTGCCACGTGGCACGTCAATCAGTCCTCATCAACACACTGGAGCAATGTCGACTTCAAGATGACCAGGCATGTGTCCACGATTATCCCACAGTCATGATCTCCTCATGAGTAACGATGAATCAGAAAAGTAGTGCCAATCACATAGCCCAACCACGTCAGCAACAGTAAACGTGGCAGCGGCCAAGTCAATAGCAACGCGTGGCAGCTGCCACGTCAGCATACCCAAAAGACAATATCAAGCCAACCACCATGCTGAGTCAGCATCGCATCGCCGTAATCACCCAAGTGTCAGCACAAAGTCAGCGTCCAACCAGCGTCGCAGCGTCAAGCCAGCGTCGTCGTCAACGCGTGAAGTCAGCATTGACGCAAGACTAAATGAATGTCAAAGTCAAGAAGTCAGCGCTTATGTAGCGTTGACGCGGGGTCTGGACCCCAGATGCTGCATCTCTCAGTCGTTCAGATCTCAATGCAAAAGACGGACCAGATTGGCCTGAAACCGAATTCCTTTTGGCCTTGATGCTATCTGGGTACCTGCGCAAAACAAGTGAGTGTATCCGACCAGGGGCTTGCGCGGGTATCTTTGACCTGACAGTTGACTCAGACTTTTGACTTCCCAAGGGCAGTGTGTGGTCACACTGTCTGGCGCAAGTCGAATTTGGCCTGCGTCGTCTGGGCTCCGTTTCGAGGGCCCAGACTGCTGCAAACATGGGTTACTGCATTCCTGCCGACCCATTTTCGAGTTCCATCGCAGAAATAATTAAGATTTCAACCCACATTCATATGCAAATACGATATCAGGAGCAATTTCAAGTAATTCTTATTTACTAAACCATCTGTCTTCAGACGGTGTTTGAGATTTGAAACATACCTTGAACTGCTTTTTAGGTCGTCCACGTCCACCTGTAGAAAAATACCCATGCTCTATGATCCGGTCTACTTCATATCCGCCTTCCATATCTGGCGGAATCATAGAAGGTATGTTTGGGAACTCATGTCCTTCTACATAAGGTAACAATTTGGACGTGTGAAAGACGGAATACATTTTGAGGTGAGGGGGAATATCAATTCCATAAGACGGTCCCTCTGCATCCCCAATTATTTTGAGAACTTCCCAAGGTCCAAAATATACAGGCAGAAGTTTCTGAGACACATTTTCCTCCAATGAAAACTCTTTGGACTTGACCCAGACTAGATCACCTTCCTTGAATGCTGATGGCCGGCGATGCTTGTTAGTTTGTTCAATCATTTAGTACTGAGCTTTCTTCAGATTGTCCTTTACTTTCTTAATGTCTTTGTGAAACAATACTGCATACTCCCGGGTCCCTGGAGGGAACCTAAGAAACTGGTCCCGTGTTAGTACATCAATGGAACGCTTAGGTCTCCACCCTTGTGCAGTGCATTAGGCGTACGCCCTGCAACGGTATGAACACTACTATTGTATACACTTGCTATCTTGGGTAAGTTATCGTCCCAATCAATCTGATCGGGTCTCACATACATGCGCAAAAGCTGCTGACACAAACGGTTCATCTGCTCACTTTGTCTTCGTTTCAGGGTGTCGCCCTGACGACATGGTCAGTCGTGTACCGTATGCTTCCATAAGCTTTTGTCATGATATACTTGTGAACCTGGCATCACGATCAGATACAATGGAGAGAGGAAAACCATACTCAGTCACCCATCGCATATGAAACTTTTGGATCACAAATTGAATTCGTGTTTCTGCGGGTAAGGGAATAAACATGGCATATTTAGAGAAACGATCCACAATAACCATTACTTGACTATTGTCGTTCCGACTTTTGATAAGAATCATGAAATCCATTGAGATAGACTCACCTGGTTTGCTAGGAATCGGTGGTAGTTTCAGAAGACCAAGTGGATTCTTATGTGAAGGTTTGTTTCTCTGACACACCAAATATGTACGAACATAAGTTAGTATGTCTTCTTTAAGTCTCTTCCACTCAAAGCGTTCTCTAACCTCTGCGTAAGTTTTCTTTAAACCAAAATGTCCTGCAAAGTCATGACATTCCCCAATCAACAAACTTTTGATTTCTTCTTGATGAGGAATACATAATCTTTGTTCAGTTTGGTCTAACAAGAAAAGCAAATCATCGGTCACTCTATAGCTAGGAAGTAGAGATAAATCTTTCACAAAAACATCCATAATAGGCTTCCAAATAAAATCAGTAGCATATCCTTGACGAATTTTATCTTTTAGATCACTTCCAACATTCAAATAAAAGACAATAGTACCAAAAAAATCACAACGTTTGGACAATGCGTCTGCGACCACATTAGAATTACGTTTGATAGTTTCTAATTCTAAATCAAAAGTATCAATGAATGCAGACCAATGCACTAGCTTATTAGAGAATCGAGGCTATGTCTTTATCCACTTCAAGGTAGAGTGGTCTGAGTACACAGTGAAGTGCATCCCTAACAAGTAGTGCTTTCATGTGTCCAATGCACAGACTAAGGCATATAGTTCCCTTTCATCGGTGGAGTTGGCAACCTTGTCTGATGGTAGACGTGCAGACATAAATTCAATAGGTCTATAACCATTATAACAGCCATTTCGTCAAAATGAACATATTATATTTTTTGAACGAAATCAAAACCGATTTTTTTTGTCAAAATCCGGTCGGAATTTTTTGCTCCTGGGGGTCCGGCATTCCCAAAACGCCAGACCCCCTACATGTATCTGGTCGACGGTCGAGACCACATCC